ACACCTTGGTTTTCACAAGATAAAAATAAAGGGTAAAGATGACATAAAGCAGAAAAAGTCAGAGTACTGAGAAGAATACACAAGTAATAGCTCAGTGGATGTCCACAAATGTTTTTGTAATCCCCATCATTCGATTGGGTTTCAATTCTTTTTGGGGCTTTTGGGTTTATCCACTGTTTCATGACAAGGGTCCAGCAAAGAGATTCAATTACACCAAGAATGGCCCCTTTTTAGCCAATAGATGCCACTTACAACTTTAAGAAAACGTTTTATTTTCCGTTTTCTTATGATTTTAATTCTATAATTGGTTACTAAATGGATAGTGAGACTCCATTTGTTGATAAATACTTTAAAATGTAAGTTTAGGACTTGAGTAAAAGCTTGTTTCTACCTGCATTTTAATATATATAAACTAGACAAGGCAGGTGGAATGTGGAAAAATATTGCATAAAAGCAGCATTTTGAGCTTTTAAATGAATCTTAACACATATACATATAAAGTACAGGGAGAAATTATTTGATGCCAAATAAATAATTACCTTTGAACCTCACATGTAATTTTTCTGCAGCTATTTGAATTAAGTAAATAAGCCAAGCTCCTGAAATATAATCTATGTTTTAAATTGCGTTTTGGTCCCCCACTTAAACAACATGTCATAAGCAGTATTGTCTGATTCAAGTTAAGTAATGTGGCTGTGACTAAATGATGAGTACCCTAAATTATTTGATTAGCTGCGACTTTTTTGTCACCGTTTTTTTTTAGAAAAACCACATTTCCGACAGCCCTTGAAGCCAGCAGGAGTCCTCCCAGTCAGATCTGGCTGAACGTGACGAGCCGACTCGGAGCCGAGCGAGGTTTCCTGGCGGAGCTGCGGAGGGAGCAGGAGTTGAGCGGGTTTGTCTGTCTGTCTGTCTGTTCGTGTGTCTATCCGCCGCCGCAGTCGCTGTCTGCCTGGGATATAAAAACAAAACAATACACCCCCGAAAACTCATCTTTACGGCTTCAACGGTCTGGAGACGGCATCCACGGCTATGGACCCATCGATGTCCTCCTGTTATCCACACTGAGCGACGTTACTCCGTCGGATGCTCCAGTGCCCAGAGGAGAGGAGGAGGAGGAGGGGGTATCCCTATCATTTTTCGACTGCCAGGTGAAATAATTATATGATATAATCTGTGTGGGGTGGACGCTTGGATTGTTTGTGTGAAAAGGGTGATAAGGAGGGGGGAGTGGGAGTCGTTGTTTGGGGGGCACGGGCAGCGGGTTTGTCTCGAGCCTGGAGCGGAGGTTAGCACGCTAGCTAGCTGCAGTTAGCGGGCTGCTGCTGCTTCGTCATTCGCCGGGCTGGGAAGGATGCGGCGCTGGGATGCTGCCGCTGCTGCAGCAGCAGGGAGGGGTGGGCCAGTAATGGTAACTGTACCGGCCGTCTGGCTTCGGCCCATCGTCCTTATGAACTACACCCCCAACCTCCCGTTTTCCCCCTCCCATCTCTCTTCGTTGCGCCCGCCGCCTTCATAAACCACAGACTCTCATTTCAGTTCAGGATGAACTAACAAAAATCGCAGATGATAGATACCCGAGTGGTTTCATCAGAGAAATAACACCACTTCCAACAGCTTGACTGCCGGACTGTCAGTTAGCCAGCTATGCTAGCCAGGCATTGAACTGGCTGACCGGCTAAGATTAGCACTAGCATCACCCCCCTCACCCTCCCCAGCTAGCATCCCTGGCTAACCCGCATCCTCCAGCCGAGCCATCACAGGCCAACCACACAACCACCTTCCCATCCTGCCGTCTCACACCAGCTATTTCATCGCCACTAACAGTTAGTAATCGGCATAAGAGCCGTTGCCAGACATTTATTCACGGCTCGCCCATTAAAATATAATGGAGCACGCCAAGCGGATGTTGTTATGTAACAGATAATGACACCACACGCCCTTGAAACAAAAGCTGTTGTTTCAGTATTTGTTTGTTTGTGTGTGTGATGCAGGGCACAATCATGAACAATAAATCACAGACAGGGGAGGGGGGGAGTGTTTGTCGCACCGAGGGCCGCAGCTCTGAGCCGGCTTCTGAAATATACAACCCCTGCTCCTGTCAGCCATTGTTTTTGTTGTCATTGGAGATCTCAGCATTTGTTTTCCAGCGCTGGATCTTCCCAGTGGTGCTTGTGTGAGCCATGCATTGAAGCAACATGACCAGTCGGTCATCAGAACACAACCAGTACCGTATGTTGTTTGAATGCTGAAATGTGAATGATTATTGTCAGTATAAGGCATGCGATTTTTACCCACAATGTGTTCGTTTTTTCATATGAAAGAGAAGCCACTGATGTGGGAATCAGGTTTTATTGTTAAATTACTTGTAAAATGATAGCAGAGGTGGACCTACTAGTCTCATCTCATGTTGGGTACTGGCATATAGGAAATTCAGTTACTTGTGAGACATTACAGTGACAAACCTTTATGAATCATCATCATCACTGCATCTGTAAAACTGATCAGGAAAACAATTATCTCTAAGGTCATTTGTCAGAGCATTCAGATAGCTCTATTCAGAGGCAGTTCAGTGTGATCTTCATAAGGAACATAATTGCATTACAGAACCATTTAAAGCTAATTGTAGTCCCTCTGTTTATAGTCACTGGGGTGATATAATTTAGCATATAGATATCATTATCTTTCTGTGTTTAAAGTGGATAATTTGACAAATAAATTGATATAATAAGTTCTTACATTCTGCTAACCTGAATTGGATAAGTGGTTAAGAGCAATGGATGGGTCTTATTAAGGCTTAAGCTGAGGGACAAGTTTTGGCTCCAAGGAGCTATATCACAGTTGCACACAGTTAGTTGCTCTAAACATGAGTTTATTTTTTAATTGTATGATTTTGCATTCATTTACAAAACATCATCATGGAAAATGTCTTTATATGCACCTGTGAAAGTAATTTCAGGTAATATGCTGAAATAGTTGTTGTAATGAAGCAGTGTTAAACTATACACATGTGTTCAACATTTTAACATGCATACATCCATTATTTCACTTGATAGTGTTGGTTCTGTAAATGTAGTCTAAGTATCAGTGATGTAGAGATCGGGGCTCTGTAGGGGCCATCAGTTGCAGGACTCCTTGTTCTTTTTGCTTGATGCATCTGGCTGGATGTTTGAGCTTTGAGTTTGAGCTGCAGCATGAATTTGAGATGATCAGATGCCTTCTTGATATCTTTACATGATGGAGAAGAATCTAAACACTTTAAATACCCAAACTTTTGCATAATAAAGTTATACTATTAAATGTCAAATATTTATCCCATACATGTTATCTCAGATCCTATGTTGCCTCTGAATGTGAGTCAAGGAGCTGATGCTGGTGGGGTTTTTTTTT